GGTAGCTCCGCGCCTGCCGCCTACAGTCGCAGCTGCAGCTGCGTCAGCCGCAGCAGCGGACGAGCAGCGCAGCTCATTTCTCAAGGAGCACGAGAATAGAATTGCCCAGCTCAAAGAGGAGCATAGGCAGGACCAGCTCCGTATCGACAGGATACACAGGGAGCGCCTCAGGCTGCAGTTGCGAGAAGGCGAAAGCCTCTCGCATTGCGGTCAGCGTCTTTCGCCCAGGAGGCCGCGTAAACCTCATGAAGGAGGTGATGCTGCCAGGCGTTAGCATTTGCCAGGCAGCTAACCCTCAGCCTCAGCCTAACCTCTCCTTCTTTCCTCTTACCAGCTCCCTTTTCCGCCTCATCCCCTTCAGGCCATGAGGAGCGAGCCCAGTATCCTGGGCAGCGCCGGTGCAGACGAGGACATGCCCGCTGCTGAGGCGTACCCGGGGCAACAATTAGAGCCGCGCAGCATCTCGCCACCAGCCTCTCGTTTGGCTTCCTTATGGAAGCATTTGGCTGAGCGGTTTCTTTTGGCTCACCAGCAAGTCTACCGCTTTCTCAGCGGCGGCGCGAGGCGCCGCGCACTCATTCTGTCTCCCGCCACGGTGTACCAGCATAATGCGGTACCCCAGTGGCAAGCCACATGGCAGCTCGAGAGCGGGCCGCCCGCATGGCCACACGCGCGCGCCTTCGTGGGCCCTGTGCTTCACCTAGATTTGCCCACGGCCGTTAATCGCACACTCGAGCGCTGGCATGGGCGCTGGCGCGAGGCCAACTCCCCTAACCTACTCCACATTTACCCTCAATGTGCTGCGGGGGACGGCCCCTATGATGCGCGTTTCTCACCCACCATAGGGCTAGTTTCTGTTTACGTGCCGGACCAGCTTTTTCTGGACCTGCTCCAATCGGGGGCCTGGGAGCAGTCCTCCCTCAGCCCTCATCGTCTTTTGCAGGATGCAGCGGCTGGCAGCCCCATCCTTATAGATTTCCAGGCCATGATCATGGTTCGGCCATTCTGCCTCCCGTTGTCCCACCTCGCTCGTATCCTCCGTCTCCCCGAACCCTAATCCCTCAGGCCATGCCGACCCCAGAGGCGCAGCACCTGCCGCAGTTCGAGCACGGCGACTACCGCTGCGCCCCCACTGAGTCAGTGCCACCACCGCCTACAGTAGTGCAGTGGATGGTAGTAATAACGACAGGCCACATTCCGCTTTGGTCCCCATTGCCCATCAATGTAGGGCCCCTAATGGAGCAATTCCATGGGCAGGAGACCAGGCTGCCATCCACTGCGGAAAGGCCGCGCTTTTTTCACCTCCCCATTCTTCAGGAGATGGATGCACGGCCCATCCTATTTGGCACGGGCATACCCTACCGCACCGGCCTTTCTCTGCGGGTCAACATGCGTAGCGGTAACATCCTCATCCCTATAGACTCCGCACCAGGCCAAGCATGCATCAATCGGCCCGTCAGGAGGGTCCTCCTCACACAGATGCAAGCATAGGCCAGCTAGGTTTCACTCATATTTGGCCGTTGGCTTATGGGCTACTTCTTTTTGTTCCCTATGCACTCCCCCCTTCTCTCAGCGCGCCCCACGCCGCCATGGTGCCCATGCCTCCCGCGGGCGGTTCCGCAGCGGCCGCGGCGGAGACGGGCGCGGCCGAGGCCAGCAGGGCGTCGCCCAACACGCGGGAGCTCTTCGGCCTCTCAGGAGACACGTATGCTGGTTCGGCATGGCAGGGCTCCCAATACACGGCCGCCACGCGTGAGTTCAAAAAGTGGTGGCCTTCCACATGCCCTGGCGAGTGGAAGATGCCCAACGGCATGCTCTACCCGTTCGTCTGGAAGCTCAAGTCGCTGGACGTCATCGACAGCCAGGTCGTCGAAACCTGGGACTGGGAGTGGATCGAGACCCCAGGCCTGGCGACCATCGCAGAGGTGGAGGCCATGCTGAGGGACCACTACAACCAGCAGCAGGCTGCCGCGCAAGAGGCCCAGGCGCGAGCGGCGGCGACAGCGGCAGGTCTCTCGGCGCTCTCGGCTGCCGCCCGCACTCTCAACCCGTCGCCCTTCGGTGCCTGAGCGAGCCACATTAGTGCTGCATCAATCAGCGCCCTTCTAGGTCGTCCTAAGCGACCTCGGCGCAACTAGCAGCGCTCCCACTTAGGTGGTGGGCTCGCCTAATACTTTCCCTTTATTCATCTTTCCTGCGTTCTCTCCTTACCTCGGCAGCCCACCACCTAAACAGCTGGAGCCATGCCGTTCCAATTCTAGGTCGGTCGAGCCGTCCTGCATAGCTGAGTTGTAGGCCACGCGAGCCTAGCAGCACTAGCCTATCCCGTCATAGTGCGGCTCAGCAACCTTGAGCAGCCCCGCTAACAGTGAGGCGGCTAAACGCCGCTCACACATCTCAATTCGCAGACTCGCCACGGCTGAGTCCTCACGCATAGGTGGTGGGCTAGCACATTGCTCGGATCCCGGTTTACCTGCAGCCCACCACCTATCCAGCCCTAGCCATCACACGAGTCAAAATCTACCAAGGAGACGCCGCGTCTCCAATTTAAGGTCGGCCGAGCCGACATGCAGTCCGCGGCAGTGGGTCCTTCAGGTACACACTCTCACTGCAACTCTTGCGGCGCCAGTCGGCACCATCTCTGTTCAACATGGGATGGGCGCCCATGGTGCAACCGCCAATGCGCCACACAGGGGCGGAGCCAGCTTAATACTTCACTCGGCAGCCCGCCTAGTCACTCTTTTTTCCACCGGCCCCCCCTTGAGGGCCTGTGCAAGAGTAGTTGCCATTCTTGGGCGCGTCTTCTCACTTTGCCGCACGAGTGCGGCCAATGCGGCACATTTTAGCAGCCTCGCTAAACAGCGATCGGCTAAGCTCACACAGCAATTCGCAGACTCGCCACGGCTGAGTCTCCTAGGTGGTGAGCAGGCCTAATACTCGTTCGCCTTGGCAGCTCACTACCTAGACAGCCCTAGCCACAAGTGCCTCGTGAGAGGACCGTGGCACTTTGCCCTGGCTTGTCTCTTTGGCCCTCGTCCAGGTGTAGCAGGGTCCCCTTGGTCCCTGTGTGCCTGTGAGGGGCCACACGGAGGTGGGTCTCTGCTGTCTGGTCTCGGCTAGCGCCCAGGCACACCCACCTCCCCGCCGCGGCCGGCCCGTACAGGCCTTTCAGCTGCAGCGTCCGCCCTGCAGCACGGCAATGCCATTCTGTCCCTCTCTCTATCAAGCCTCCTCCCTCCCCCAATGTGCTGCTCAGCAGCAACAAGGCGGTTCGACCGCCCACGGCCATTTTGGCCCTCCGTCCAGCTCCTTCTCTCTCCGCACAGTCTACTTAATTTGGGTAGGCATTCCCAGGCCAGATACTTCTTTTCTAGCCCTGCACTGCTCTCTGCCTCGAGGGCTGCCCTGCTATGGGCAACGAAGCAGGGCCCCGCTGATGTCTCTCTTCGCACGGCGCTGCAAACTCCTCCTCTCTCCTATATGATCCCTCTTCTCCCCTCCCGCAGCGCCAATACCTCTCTCCCGACAGTTTTCGGGACGAGAGCGGAAGCAGCTCAGCGTCCATGCTCTCGGGCTTCTCGTGTGCAGCCTGTGCCAGTCCTGTTGGCCGCTGCGCTCAAGCTAACTTGCAACGAGCCTAGTACAGTCAAAAAAAAAGCCCTCCCTCCCTCCTTCCTTCCCTCCCTCCCTCCCTCCTCCCTCCCTCCTCCTCCTCCTCCTCCTCCTCCTCCTCTTCCTCCTCCTCATTCTCATCCTCCTCGTCTCACTCCCCTTCCTTCCCCCCGATCCACCTACTTCTCCTTTCCTCCTCCCTCTCTCAAGTGGTCGGCGGAGGTGGCGCCGACCAGGTGCATCTGATCCCAGGAGCACGTGTCTTCGCCTTTTGCGGCCCAGAAGAAGGCGAGGATAGGAAGTGTTGTTTGGGGGCAGGTTTTCCTATGTTTTAGTGGCGAGGGAGAAGAGACGCGAGAAAGCCAGGGAGAGGAGGAGCGACGACATGATGAACAAAAGGGGCGAGCAAGAGGTGGCGGAGGAAAGGGGAGGACCATCAGTGGCAGGAGCAGGAGCAGGACCAGGAGAGGACGCGGCGGCGGTCGAAGGACGGGGGTGGTGAAAGCCCCGTGGCCTCGAGCGGGAGATCGAATTCGGCTTCGCTGTGTGATGTGCGTGCGGGCGAGGCGATTCCGCGCGAGGGCGGCGACGCACCAGCTGGAGCTGGGGCCAAGCCGAGCAAACAATCTGCTCCGTCTAGGCGGCCCGCCCGGAAGACCCTCGCGCCGCGGGAGGGAGGGAGCCGGAGACCCCTCGTCGGGGCACGTCTGCGCCGACGGCGTGCCGAAACGCATCGAACGGGCACTGCGACGCCACGCGCGCTCCCCCACTGAAGCTGTGAGCTCGCTGTGGGACACGGTCCGTCGGGTGTGCCTCGACGGGCGGGGAGGTGCTGCGCGATACCCCCCGCGCGCCGCCGGAACAGTAGCTGGAGCCGCCCATGGGGCGCGGTGCGTGTGAGCGGCGTGCCCGAGTGGGCGGGGCGGGGCGCGAGAGAAGCGCACTCCCTCGGGGGCCATCGATGGAGCTGCCCGTGGGGCACGATATCCGTGGGAGGGGTGCGCCAGGCCACGGGTCTGGGGACGGACGCTGTGGGAGCGCCCCTGCTGGGGCCGCAGAAGTGGAGCCCCCTGTAGGGCAGGATCCGTGATGGGCACGCGAGAAGCAGCAGCGGCGGAGTGGCAGCAGCATTGCGCCAGGCAGCGCAGCAGCATCGGCAGGAGCGGGAGAGGGGCGGGGGGGAGACGCGCGGCACGGCGAAGACAAACCGCGGACCAAGCTCCACAGGAGAGCTGGGGACAAAAAAGCTCCTCCTCCTCCTCCTTCTCCTCCTCGTCCTCCTCCTCCTCTGTCCCTGCTGCTGCTTCTCCTCGTCCTCCCCTCCTTCCCCCCACCCACTCCCGTTTCCTGCTCCTCCTCCTCCTCTTCCTCCTCCTCCTCCTCCTCGCCTCCGCGGCCCAGGGACACGAACTTTGCCATCAGGGCGGCCGTCACCAGCTCCCCGAACATGATGTTCGTCTTCTGTATGTAGAACGGCACCTCGGGAGGGAGGAGGGGACCCACACCTCTGATCGCTGTGAGCCACGACTTGCGACAAGGGTGGGATGGCCCCGGCTGGAGATTCGGCGCCTTCGCTAGTAATATGCAGGCCTTCTTGGTCTCATCAGCCGTGGAGCTGATTTGTCAAAGTGATCCGCTCTAGTCCTAACTACTTTGGAATTCCCTCGGAAAGGCTCACCGGAGGTCCGTGCTCGCGGCCCTGTGTTGAGGATGTGCGCAACGGACGGTTAGAGCTAAAATGGGCAGTTCAGGGGCCAGGCCACTCTACCAGATTCATTGGTGATCCTCGAATTATTGCAGACACGCCGCACTGTCAAGTGGCTACGTGGTTCATGGACGACCTATGTGAAGAGCACACTGGCACCAGCATGACTATAGAAGTTTTTCGGGGTAACGAGGACGAACGCGCTCTGGATATATCACAGCGAGGCGTTTGCGTGGATCCTCCGAGGGGCTGTTGGAATTCCTCGAGTTCTCGCAACAGTAAGATACGCAAGCGTTATCAACAAATGCTCACCTGCTCATGTGCAACAACCAGTCGTTCACACGAATGGGGATATGACGTCCAGGCACTGCCCAGTTTGCATACGCTCAGACAAGTTAGAGTTGCTGCGACATCTGGCGTGTTCCTCGAAGCTGACAGATAAGCGTTCTGAATCGCACCAGACATCTGGGCTTAAAGTGGTCGAGAGCAATCGTCTTTTCCTGTTCCGAAGCCCTTGTTCCCTTCGGGTAGGGGTACCGTGCCCCGCCCCTCCCAAAGGTTTTTCGCCCCCTCCCCCCCCGAGATGTGTCTGAGGGCCCAAGATGGCTCCAAGAGGGTTTTCTTTCCATGCTCCAAGATAGCCTCCAAGCTGGTTCAAAAAAAAACAAAAATGTTTCAAAATGGCCTCCGTCATGCCTCCACGAACCCCAGAGAAACACAATAGAATTTCGGAGTGTCCTTGGAGCCCTCCAAGGACCCCTTCCACGCAAAAAACATCCTGCAACAACTACATTGCAATCCCACGAATGTTGCCATATCGTTTTTCGCTTCCGAAGGGGCGTCAGAAGCCTCAAGATGGTCCCAAGAAAAACCCAGGAGGGGCCTTACATGCCCCCAAAACTGCCTCAAGAGCGCCCAAGAGCGTCCAAGAGTGCCCCAAGAGGGCCCCGAGAAGCGATCTCGATGGTCCCAAAGGGGTGAAGGACATTTAAGACCTTCCCTCGTTTGATCGACGCCCTCACAATGGCCCCAAGATGCTTTCCAGGGCTTCAATGAAGCCCCCCGGAGGGCCCCGACAAATTCACTCTCCTTGGCCCCGTTGCTTCGCGATCTTTTTACCTACGCCCCTCCTCCAGACAACTCCCCTGGGCATCGTTTCCGGATCGGCTGGCGGGGGCATTTTTTGGTTAGTGGGCTCGCGAAACGAGTCGAATGCCGAGCGTGCTATGGCGGGCCGCGCCAACACTGGCGGGGGTACTTTTTTTGCTCGCGAGCGTCACGGTCTAATCGCGCGCCGTCCAGAAGCGAGGCACCCGCGCCAAGATCTAAATTAGGCACTAAGCGCGCAGGAGCGAGCTACGCTGCGACTCAGAAGGCGAAGGCGACGCTGAAAGACAAGCCGAAAACGCCGATGCCGTAGGAGACCAGGAGGTGGACCCGGTCCGCGTGCAGCGCCAAAATGGCGAGGTAATTCGAGGCCTAATTAGTTCCCGAAGACCACGTCCGCGCAATCGAGGGGGACATGACCGCAGTCACGTAGTCGAAGAAAACAAACCGTGCAAGCGCCCAACGGAGGACTCCGGATCGCCAGGGGGAGGTCAAGAGGCACGACATGAGGGAGCCCCCCACGCGCAAGGAGAGCACGAGAGCGGGAGCCGCGGCGATGGGGCAAGGACAGTGCCAAGCAAAGCACCGAGAGCGAGGCGGCCGGACGCCAAGAACGCCAGGAACATCGCCAAACTCGCGGCGGCGAGGCCCAACCGGCACGGGGGAGGCAAGGTGTCCGACGACCCCGAACGGGCGAGCGGCGCCCACGAGCCAAGGGGGGCCCAAACGGCAAGGGGGCACCCCGACGGGAGGGCGAGCGGCTTGCCCCAGAGCGACCGGCGAGGCCGACCAAGGACAGCAGGCACCCAGCTGGGCAGGGGCGACGGCGCGGTGGGCGAGGGAGCACCGAGGCCACGCGCGCCGGAGCGGGGCCGCCGGCGCCGGCCGCGACGCCCCAGGGCTTCGTCGAGGACCGGGGGGGGGGGGCCGGCGGCAGCAGAGAGAGGCCGGGGGCGGCGAGGCGCGGCCCGCCGCGGCCGTGAAGCGGGCCGCAGTGGGGGGGGGAAGGTAGCTGGCAGCCGTAGTGCGCGTAGGCGGGGGGGGGCTGGGCAGGGGGGCCAGCGGGGGCGACTGACAGTCGCACAGTATGGGAGGAGAACACGCGGGGGGCGGGCCGGGGCACGGAGGCCAGGAGGCGGGCGGGGGGCGTGCGGGGGGGCAGCTGACAGCCGCAGTGGAGCGTCGCAACCGTGGGGGGCGAGGACTAGGAGTCCGGGCGGGGAGAAAGCAGCTGGCAGCCGCAGAGTGGAGCGTCGAAAGGCAGCGAAGGTGCGTGCGGAGGAGGAGCGGCGGTAAAGGCGACTGACAGTTGCAGAGCGGTGCAGAAAGGGGCGGGGAATGTCGGGGGGCGCGACTAACAGTCGCAATGTGGCTATTGCAGCGTGCTGCGTCAGGCTGCGAGTCCTGTTGTCGCGAGGGATCTAGCAGCGCGGGTCGCACCGCGGGAGGGGGGGCCGAGGCCCCTGGGCGGCGCCAGAGGCGGGCTAGGAGGGGCGGCGATCACCCAGGGGGCGAGAGGCCGCAAAGTGGCCAGGAGTAAAGGTCTCCGGAGGGCCAGGGGCGAGCCAGCAGCCCCAGCTAGGCGCGCCCGAGGCGGTATTAGGCGCGGAGCCGAAGTGGCGCGCCGAGGGGCCCCGTCTGGGGCTGGCCCCAATGCGAAGAGGGACGAGCCAATTGCGCGGCAGGTCACCCTCGAGTTGGCCGTCGTGCTGTTGGAGCCGCTGGCACTAGCCGCCGAAGACCTCGTCCAGGGCAGCGTGGTATTGTATGACCCTGCCGCATCCGTCAGCGTCGTGCCGCTGCTCACCGTAGTGCTGGACGGCGTGGTGCTGCTCGACTGTGTCGCACTCGAGTCGTATTGCTCGACGTTGCGCTGCTCGCCACGACCGCGCTCGAGCTGCTGCTCAGTACCGTCGTGGAGTTCACCGTGGAGGTGGCCGTGGCGGTGGCGCTCCTCGGGGCAGTCTGGTGGGGGCCCTGCTGCTCGAGGTCGTGCTGCTGGTCGTCTGAAGCGTACTGCTAGACACCTATTCACTGAAGGGGTGGACGGTGCAGTCGTGCTGTTGGTCACGCTCGAGCAGGCCGCCGTGCTGCTGGTGCCGCTCGTACTATGCTCGATGTCGTCGTGGAGCCCACCGTGAAAGTGGCCGTGGACGTCGCGCTGCTCGAGACCGCCCTGGTCGTGACCGTGCGGCCGGAGGTCGCCCTGCAGGTCGTCTGAAACGTACTGCTGGACAACGTAGCACTGGAAGTCAAGTTGGTGAAGGATGCATTGGTGCTGCTGGCCACCTTCGAGTTGGCCATCGTGCTGCTGGTGCCGTTCGTGCAAGCCGTCTAAGGTATCGTCCTGGTCTCGTCTCGGTCAACGTGGTATTGTAGGATCTTGTCGTATCCGTCGATGTCGCGCCGTTGCTCGTCGTAATGCTGGCCGGCGTGTTGCTGCCCGATAGTGTCGCCCACGAGACGTACTGTCCGACATTGGGCTTCTCGTTTCAACCACTCACGCTGCTGCTCATTGCCGTCGTGGAGCTCACCGTGCAAGTGGCTCTGGACGTCGCACTGCTCGGGGCTGCACTGGCCGTGACCGTGGTGCTCGAGGCCAACGTGGTATGGTAAGACCTGGTCGTCTCCGTCAGCGTCGTGACACTGTTCACCGTGGCGCTGGCCGGACGGCGCTGCTCGCCTATGTCGCACTCGAGATCGTACTGCTCGACGTTGCGCTGCCCGACTCGACCATGCTCACGCGCGAAACAAATCGAACGCCGAGCGTGCTACGGCGGGCCGCGCCGGCACTGGCGGGGACGCAGTTTGTCAGCGACCGCAGGCGAGCGCGCCAGCGGCGAGTCCAGTCAGAGCGGGGCGCGCAAAGACGAATTAAACTAAACCGGTGGGCCGGGGCCTCATGCAGCACCTCGGCGGCGGGCCGGCGAATGGAAAAGGCTGGCGGTAGGCTGGATACCAGTGCTGGCGGGTTGCATTCAAAACGTCGGTGGCAGCAGGCGGCCAGGGTAACTGGCGACCGGGGAAAGCTGCGAACGGGAATTAGTTGCAAGGGCGCAAGCACCCGGACTACTGGTACCAGGGTGGCCGCAGCCAAGTGAACCGACTTTCGGAGGTCGAATTGGGTGCCCAGGGTGGGCATGAGCATCGGCAAGCTGCGAGGTACCAGGGTGGCCGCAACTCAAAGGGTCCAACAGCAGCAGCACGCGCAAGTGCGAAGAGCAGTCAAGCTGCAGCGCGGCCAAAATGGCGCGGGGGCACCACGAAAGCGACCGTTGGAAGCTCGGGGAACCAAGCCGTGACCCAGGGCCAGACGGGTGCAACAGGTGGCGCCAGCGAAGTCGCGCACCAGAAGCCCTGAATAGGGAGCGCGTGCCCGCAGTCAGCACACCGGCAGTGGCGACAGACGTACACGGACACCGCGGGGAGAACTCCAGTACACGGACACCGCGGGGATACTTTTTCGGTCGCGGCCACGAGCGAAGAGGCAGGCGGCGGGCAGGGCGTCTGGGCCAACGGGCAAGCCTAATTAGCTACAAGAGGCGCACTTGCCGGCCGGCCCACTCACAAAGCAGCCGCGAGGCGTGGGGGGACTGACGGCGGGGGGCATCCTGGGAAGCTCGAGCACATGCACAGGACAAAATGTCGGGGAATTCGATGCCTGCCA